TTCTTTTCCAGTCACTGTCTGAGAACGTATCTGGATCCCCAGGGCCTGGTAACCTATTCGTCAGTCCATATTGTTCATAGTCCAAGTCCAGGATCGTGCCCGTCCGGGGGGACCAGTTTGACAAACAGGAAATCTTAAGATCTGTTGCAAGATGTTGTAAGTCTTCAGGAATGCTGTGCACTTGGTGTTTCTACACAAAGCCAAAGCAGGAACATCCTCAGATTGGAGTCCTTCGCGCGTCGGACGGATCGATGGCGGTTTTGGGCCCGGATGTGATGAAGCAGGTGCCTTTTTGTTGGAGGTGAATCCTTGTTGTTCGATGCTGGATCTTTGAGCTTGAATATAAGTTGCACGAAATGTGTTTCGTTTGGCTTTCAATGGGTCAGTACCTGACTCTGTTGATTGAATATAGCTGAAGGCCGAAGTGTTCTTGAACATCAGCTCTTTGTTGCTTGTTCCTGACAAGGAGGTGCCTTGGGACATTTTTTGGAGTTTTGAGGGCTACATCTTGGTGGCCTGCAATGCTGGAATTGTGGCGGAATGACCATCCCACCTGCGCCACACACAGACGAACTCACCCCCTGCCTCGCAAGATATGACCGTTTTCAGCACGGTGAATCCTGCTTCGCTGCTTCGCACGTGGACACCGAGGTCCGTCCGGAGCTTCCGGCGTCGCTGCGGGAAACCGCCGGGACCAATCACGGGTCCTTTCTGTACTTGGAGCCCTCGAAGGACCGACGATACCGGGGGAGTCGCGGTGCCTGTGGGGGTGCCATCCTTCGCGGTTTTAGGTCATCTCTAGGAGTTGGTCAGCGTGTCACATTGCTCCAGCCACACGCAACATTCCAAAGAGATTACGCATGTCTCGCAGTTGGGACAAGTCTGGAGATGATCCCACTGCAGCTTGGACATTGCCATCCTTGTGTGGTCGCTTGGAGGGTAAATCAGTTTGCTTTCCCCGTGATCATGTGATTGTTTTTGCTTTCGTTTTGTTGTACATGATCGCTGCCATACAGACCATGTGCAGGTCTTGCTTGGGGTGAAAGTTGTTGCCCCTTTGTGAATTCCCATTCCAGGGAGTCTGAATATACTCTTGTAGGGCGTAGTTTTTCAAGGTTCCTTATGACAATGTGCTCGCCCTACCCTGTGCATAACCTTCAACCTTTTAGGGATTGGTTTCCCCATTCAAAACGAACAGGTGGATACTGGTAATGACGGTAATGACTAAAAATAACCGTTTACTTCCAGAAAACAGGGAGTTGCTAGTAGTTGCAACGCCAAGGGTCTTGAAGAGGACAAAAGGCCACCTGGCCGGTCTCAATTCACGATCATCCGCCTTCTTGCAGAACCACACTCGGCAGCTTTCTTTCTTGAAGGAACGGATCATCCTAGGGCGTTGGGAGCAATCCACGAAGGGCCTCCATGGGCCAATGACCAAGTCCCCAAGCAGCGACCAGATGGGCCTCCCAGCCCTTCGGGACCCGGGGGAAAGAACCCAGGTCCCGCCGGCGTCGGACGTCCGTGAGGAAAATTTCTTGTACAAGCACAGCAACTGTTGGATCTGCGGTGACTGGGTGGAGGCAGGGGCGGACAAGGGCATCCACCACGAAACAAAGACGGCAACGTTGGGAGCCTGTGAAAGAAATGACTGGTTGGTCAATTGCATGATCAGGATAGATTTGTGATGAGCCCTTTTGACAACATCACACCCTTTGATGTGTGTGATGGTTGTGCCCACCGAACCTGAGGAAGAATGTTGGTACCTTTCCCTTTTCTCGGATGGTTTCTCTCACTGTCGGCATTTTTTGCGAAGCTCGTCGACCTCAGGTGGTCTTTGAAGCGACGGTGGCCGATTTGCCACAGCTTGGCGACGACGTCACCTGCAGTGCCTTGTGCCTTGGCGCGGTGCTTTGTCGACCGACCTGGTCGCATTGACAGGACTCCTCAGGAGGTGAAGTGAGTGACTATAATGATACGTGATTGATACCCGTATATTTTGATAGAATATAGGCACGTGGATGTGCATCTATAGGGGACACAGGAGGTTTATGAATCAGTCAGCATTATATATTATATATAACCTGGGAGTCAAAGACTATAAAAAGAATATATAGTCTTTAGGGGAACTGAAAGGGAACTTCCTTTACTTCAGCCGGTCAAAATATAGTCTTTCAAAAGAGAAGGTCGTTTGATGCATCGGATGTGATTGGATACGTATCAAACCCTGATCCTCGCATATCGTCGCAGGCAAACCCCTGTTCAAGGGTTGGGGATGGTTCAGGTGATTTCAGGGAGCAACACTTCAATAAGCCGTTCACCCACCAGCATTCTGCATTGAATAGCGTAGTCGATAGGTTTGTGTTTCTGCTTATATACGTGCGCTGCCACCAAAACCGCTAGCACTTCTCCATCCTTTCTCCTTGCTGTTGCATGATTTCCGAGTATATACATATACGACATGGCTTGAGTCGAAATCTCCCCACCAAACTAAAGCTTGACATCCCTCAACCACTATCAACCAGGGTCGTGTTCCAGGGTCGCTGCCACACGAGCGTGTGGCGTCACTTCTCGCTCGCGGGGGGGGGGGGTGACGGAGATGAGTTCCATCCGCGCCATCCCAGGGTCTCCATCGACAACTTTTCGCAGCCGGTGCCCTTGACTCCAAGTCGACACGGCCGGAGACGCCCAGCGCTGAAGGACGGAACAGGACGGCGGAGATCCGAACAGGACGGGCGCGCGGAGAGCCGCGTGAGAGAGAGGCTGAGACTAGCGCGGCATGGTGGGGAGACCGGTGGGGCGCTGGAGGTTCTCGAGATGTGTAGGGTCAAAGGAAGATAAAGAAGGGTGCTCCCCAGGTGAAGATCGGACAGGTGCTCATTGCTTTATTCCACTGGAACCTGCCCACGTGTGGTGACGTTCAACGTTCGTTCGCCGAGGCCTGTGGCGTGGCAGCCGCTTCCTGCCGCCCACGGAGCGGCTCTTGGTGATCTTCCGGGTTGGCGAGGCCGAAGACCCAGTGGGGGCCCGTGTGGGGACGAGGCTGGTAGAGCATGGTGACTTAGTGGCCCCCCTCAGTTCCAGAAGATTTTTTGGTTGGCGTCTTGGACTGGGAAGTGCTCATCCGCCTGACCATCCTGTTCATCAGTGTTCATCACTCGTTTTTGGATCCTTCCTTGGCACCTAGGTCATGCTTGCGTAGTGGGGGTCGCTACCATTTTGCCTCACCCAGTCAACAGAAGACTTGGCCCTACTGCAGTCCAGCATGGAAGGATCGAGCACTGACCCTGACTTCTTGGGTTGGAAAACCCGATGTGTTCGTCCCAAAGTCCACGTGGTGGGCGACCAACCCCCCCCCCCCCCCCCCCACCCACCCACCGCTGACTTGGGCACCCAGTGATTGTCCCATAGATTGGAAGCTGCAGGGGCATGTTTTCACTGACCACACTTCTACAGGTTTTGTTATGTCTTGTTCAATCAGGGCCTAGGGTGTCATTAGCAATTGAACAACAACCAGCAAAAAGACAGCAACAAGAAACAACAACAACCAATGAACATATATACAACCACCAACAATGGTCTCTCTCTCTCTCTCTTAGCACCTCTTTCATGTGCCCAGCCCAAGGGACCCCACCACCGGTGGACGACCGACCGTCGGACGGAGCGTCAGGAGCTTTGCACTCATCCAAAGCTACCCGTACGGACTCTCCAGAGGCGAGGGATCCACCGAGACGAGGGAGACCAACGAGGGAGACCGTCGGATCCGTTTTGGTCCAAGTGGTCCAGAGCCAGAGCGGCTATAGGCCTATACATGCCTAGATATAGGATGCTTTGATGAGGGACTGAAATGATGATCTCAGAGTGACTCAGAGTTCTGAGATGTGTGATGATGTGTATACCTGGACCCTCCTGGCCAGGTGTTTCCTGGTGACAACAAATGCCCAGCAACCACCTGTTAGAGTCTTCAAACAGCCTGTTGGAGGGTGCTGGTATGGGTGTGTATTTCTACTATGGAGATCCCCCTTTCTCGCTGGCTGGGTAGACTGGTCTTTCTCCCGAGTCCAGAGTGTCCAGTCCGGTCGCATCAAATAGATCGAAGTTGTTCGCGCCTGCAACAAGATCAACAAGTCGACTGAAAGTGTTCAGGCTTTTTTTTGTTCGGCTAAAAGAAGCGGTTTAAATTCCTTTTTTAGGCTTCGGGCTTCGGCTAAATGCCTCTTTTTTCCGGCCAGATTTGAAAGACCAGGTCTTTCCTGGACCTCCAGTTTTGGTGACCTCCTTGCCTCGCCAGGCCCCTGCAAGTGCCGAACCGCGGCGATGGAAGCGTGTGCGGAGAGGTCAATGTGCTACGGGTGGCGGACCTGGCGGAGGCGGACCGTCGAGGACGGCGGACCGTCGAGGACGGTGCTTTCGCCGCGGGGTACCGGTAGTTTTCCGCCGGGGGATGGCTTGTATACCATCCAAGATGGGTCAGGTCAGACAGCAGTCTTCGTTGGTGGTGTATGTTGTTTGACGATGTCTTCTCGGAGCGGCCGGGGTTAGTGTTTGGCTTGGCTTTCTCATGAAGTGCGGAAGGCCGAAAGGTCCCAGAGTGTGTGGCTTGGAGTAGGTGGGCTGTTCAAAGCATATATAGAGTCCCCAGCGTTTTCCGGATATTGTCCGGGTGTGCTTGGTGGTTTTGGTTCAACCCCTAGGGATCCACATACCTTCTCAGGAGAAGGTACGACGGGAGGGCCCTCCCGGCCTACATCACATCGTCTCCGTCCTCACCGTAATTACGTACCTGAGAAGGTACGACTGGGTGACTGGCTCCAAAAATCCCAAGTAGACCCATGGAAATCAGCTCCTAGTAGCGTCCGATCGCTCCCAAGAAGCGATGCCCTTTGTTCCTAGTTACATCTTGTTACTAGTAGTAAGGCCAGGAGCCCCTAGTAGCGTCCTTGCTCCTAGCCCGGCCTCCCCGTTCCGTTCCCTTCCTAAGTCCTCACCGCCCATTGTGGCGCCATATGCGAGGCCTTTTGCCTGGGCGTGCCACCGGAGGGCGCCGCGCACGTGTGTGGCAGCGCGGCGCTGTGCGGCGGGGCGCTCCATGGGCCAAGGAGAGGGACCGGGGGGGGAGGGTTGGGAGTTTGCCTTGGGAGTCGTGTCCTGAACACTTGAGGACTTGGAGGTCCTCACTAGACTTGAGAATATATTAGATGTACCTAGTACCTATAGTACCTAGCACTTCCTGTTTGGGTGTCCTGTCTGGAGGCCTGTTTACGTAAGGCAGGGTAGTCTATTGGACACCCAGACAGGATGACCCTGGTAAGAACATGAATTGGAGGAGCCGCAGCGGCAAGGCGGGTGTGATTGATTCCGGATGGTGTGTTTTTGATTGAAGTACCGAACGTTCGTGATGTTTGAAATTTTGTCCAGCAGGCAGGTTGCGTCACATCGGACCTGGGGCTGTTCCAGCGGATGACAGCGGATGCGACCGTCGGTCTCCCTAGGGCTCCAAGCGGAGTGTTTGAAGTAAAGACGCATTGAACCGCTCTTCATCCCTGTATATATAAACGCACATGAATAGGGAGACCCCCTGGCCCCATGGCTTTTGGTCGTGGTTTTGGATGGTTTTGGTCTATTTCCCTTCTTCCAAGGTGTCTTTAGGAGGTCTCCCTATTCTAATCTAATACACACTCGACCCATATATGAATATGCTGAATATGTAAGATGCATGTAATTATATATAACGATTATATATATACGATTATAATGTTCAACCAATGAGCCAATGATCAATGACTGTTCTTGAAGATTCTGCCACAAATTAAACATGTCGGGGAACGCTCAAGGTCGCCATGCCGGAAACCATACCGACGATAGTCCTCTCTTGGTTTTGGAGCTAGTTGCAGCATGTTGCCACCCTTTCTTACCTGGAAACCCTTGCAAAGGGGTGCCGTTTTGGTTGACTTTGTGTTAGATTCGTCATCGGGGGGGGGCCCTGCCCGCGCCCTGCCCCATCATGTTGTTCTTGTTTTAGACGCCTCACCGCAGGTTGACCAGCTCGACCAAAGCTGTCAGCTGAAAACAAGCGGCCCCGCCAGAGTGATGACCGGTCGACGGGTGGATGACACTCCCCTGAAGGAATCGAAGTGACAAACCCACCGGTTGGAAGGGCGAACCGTGGGGCGAACCGTTGGACCGTTCGCGAGGTGGTTTGGAGAGGAAGGTGTTTTTTTTGGGGGGGGTAGCTTTGAAAAATCGGTCATTTTTGGCGAGGTGTTTTGGAGATTGCGGGGGTGTCACTTGGAAAAGGATCAGGTTCATTCATGTTCTATAAATTGGCAAAATTCACCTGTAAGGCTCAAATGTCCTATTGTTTGTTTTCTATAAAATTATTATACGTCGTCAAGACCTTGTGGAACTCTGGTTGGGATCCGGATTTCCAGGTTACCTGCGGAAGTCTTCACGTGAACATGTCAAGATTACCAAGGATACGGGTCTTGGATGTAGTTGCCAGACTCGCCCATGCTCAGACTCAGCACAAAGTCCTTTCCAAGGGGTGCGGTTATATCATGTTATATCAGGATTCATGATCCGGCTCCTTCAAATAAGTCAAAGTTCCTTTGATGACCACTTCAAGGCTAGAGAGTGCCGGAACCAACGGGCGAATCTCGAAAAACCCCATTGATGGGACTGGCATCGGCCAAGCGATCAATTGAGATGGTTGAAAAGGGGTCAATGACATGGTCCAAGAGAAGGATCACGAACTTCGGAAACCGGGGAAGTCCTGACGAGTCGAACGATCGAGTTGTTTGGAGCGACAAGGTGAAGGGGCCCTGACATGATGTCCTACAAGTCCAGTTTGACCCAGTAAAACCGGGTCCTTGACCTTCTTGAATAGTGTTTTTGTATGACCAACTTCAGTAACATGAGGCCTTTGACTTGTAGGGATTGATTAGTGATGGAAGAAAGATACTGGCAGTTAAGATCAGTCACTTCGCCACCAACTTAGAGTGTAATCGCATTGTAATTTGTTTTTTTGTCCAGCACCTCACACATGGCCTTCCGCTAAGAGCCCTCATCATTCAGTGAATGATATACCCTGATAGTGACCGACGGGTCATTATACTATTTACCCATGGACCCATAGGTGTTTAAAGAACAAAGGGAACCGTAACAAGTGTGGGCTTCTGTTAAGATCCAACATGTCCAGAGAACTGGCTTTGTCGTACCAATCAACTTTGGGCACCACTGGAACTCACACCCCGGGGTCGAATCTGCAGCAGATAAGACTTGAGCTCATGTCTTCCCTCTTCGGCCCTTGCAGCCACTCAGCTTCTACAGAGGCATCGAGTGCACACGACCCACCCCCCGGAGCAGCCTGCGGTCGAATGAGTGGTCCTCACGGACTCAGAGACTCACATCATATCCCAGACATGCCACACAGAAGTCCCATGATAGGGCTTCCCTTCACCTAGCCTACCCCCCTAGACAGGGAGGCAAGGGGCTAGGCTAGGGTACCCTAGCCCTAGGCCCTAGGATAGGGGGGATCCTAGGAGACATGCCATATGTTCTCATAGGACTGGCATATTTGACCAAGTCAGTTGGGGTGGTTGATTGGAAAGGGGCCTGGGGTCAAAGGTCGTGATCATATGCCATAGATGGGAGTGTTGGGGTATTGAACAGAATGGGCGCCCTGGTGCAATTGAATGTCTCGCATAAGATCAGTGAAGGCGTTCTAGGGGAGCCCTAGTTACCTGTGGTCAACCCAGTTTGCTTGTCAGTTGTATCCACTGGGCCAGAGATCAACCCGCACAACACACACACACACACACACACACTTCTTTGCAACAAACATGCCGCACTACCTCCAGCAAAGCTGAACAACACCAAGTGAAGAAGGCCTAAAAAACCTAGCAGTGGCGCTCTGGATGGGGAGAAATATAGACAAATCCCGCTCCCACCGAATCCCAACGATACCCACCCATGCTCGACATCCGTCCCTCTCATTGGCTGACCCTCACGTGTGAACGATTAGGCTCGTAAAGATGGTCAGGTGTGAACCATGCGCCCGCTTTTCCACCTGCAACGAATACGCGACCAAGAATACGCTACCTCGACGCCATGCTGGTGCTGCTGTCCTCGGCGATGAGGTGGGAACGAGGGTTCATCCTCAAAGGAAAGCCCACCAACAAACAACCTAAGAGGTCTTCCTGACCAGGGCTGGGGCAAAACACCTTGGACTTCCCATGATGAGACCTGCTGTCCTCGATTCTCCCGTCCCGTCAGTCGACTGGAGCCGGGAGCCGGACGGTCGGAGCCGTCGGCAGAGACGACGTCCAAGGACCCCAGCCCGGCATCCGAAGAGAGGTTGAACAGCCCTATAGCCCATCTCAGGGTCCTATATGGTCTCTCAACCTCTTTTGGTCCAGGTTCCATGCCAAGCCGGCGGCGGAGCTGGCCATGAGGACGACGCCACGGTTGCTGCACAAGACCAAGGCCACCGGGTGACGCCAAGTGGGTCTGGGGAGAGGGGTTGGAGGGATGATCAGTTTGCCTCTCACATCAATAGAAGAAGCAGACCAATTCCTATTTTACCAACATAGGGTGAATCCCCTTCTGGGGAAGATGTTGACAGCAAAGCCAAGAATTCCTGGTTCACTTGAAGTTGAAAACTCCACCACGACCCACAGTCCCGAGAGTTGAGAGGTCTTTGTCCTTCCACCGCCGCCAGTGGGGCTGGTCAGTTGGGAGTTCTCCCCAAAACCACATGACATACACAGAAGCTTCGCGCAAGGCGCCGCAGAGGTTGTGTTTGGCAACCCGTCAAGACGAGGTTGGTCCAACGGCCTGGTCGTCCAAGGGATGTGATCCCATGGTAGAACGTTGGCCCTTGGGCCTTCAGAAGGTATCGTGGTTCTTGGATGTGGAGAAAAGGGGGGGGTTTCTGGAAAGGTTCCAATTCCCAGTGGACCCAGCTACCATTATACTTGCAGCTGGAAACCCTGGTGCCTTCTAAAGTGGTACAGTAACTGAGATTTGCTGGGATTGGTCTGGGAAAAGATATGAACATGTTCTTCTTTGCAATCACCTTCGCACAGTGAGGGCATCTAACAGGTTTTGGGCAGTCCTCCCAGTCACAGCTTCTTTGAGAATGGACCAATGGACACATGATCACGTCCGGACCCTTTGGGGATGCAAGAAACTTGACGCCTGAAACCACCTGGACACCTTGAAACAGGCCAGAACCAGGACGACGTGGTGGTCCAATCGTCAGGGAGACTCACAAGCAACTTGCTCCGGGTTCAGAAGCAGATCCCCAGTCCCAGCTCCTTCCACTCCGGTCCCACCTTGCCTCATTCCAAAAGCGCTGCTTTTGGTTGCCAGGTCCTAGTCCAAGAGCTCCGACGTTTGGAAGCCAAGGTGGCTGAGCTCCGGTGTTCCCGGGGACACTGTCCACGGTGAATGGTATGGGGTGTCCACTCAGAAAAAGACATTCCGACATTCCCACCGGACATGTGCAGGCAGGGAATCATCCATGAGCCAGTTGTCATAGGTTCTCCTTCGTGCTTCCTCAGACTGCTCGTTCGTGTTTCGTCGCCCGCTACCTCGCCCCGGCGGCGGCGACCTTTCTAGGCCGCTTGAGTCGTCGCCGATGGGAAAACCAACACGGTCGCCCAACCGTCTAGGCGTCGCGGTCGCTCCCGAACGGGTCGCGGTCTTCCGATCCATCAGCCGTTTCAAATGACCAGCACCCTTGGAGAGGTCACGAGTCACCGACGTTGGACGTTCCAACGTCCGACACTGTCCGAGACCTGTTTCTGGGGTGCTGCTGGAACGATCTCCTGTCCATCTTTGTCCGGCCAGCGTTCAGTGGGATGCTCCAGTGGGATGCAGGAAAGAGGGGGGACATATGGCACCGTCATGGCACCGGCTGCTAGCAGGAGAGGAACAGCGTCACTCCATGATTGGGGTTCCCAAAGCTATCAAAGCTATGACCCTGTTTTGTCCATGCATGACATAGAGCAACCCCACTCCAGCTGGGCATGTTTGGATCGACGCTTGGGAGGACATCAAGAAGCAACTCCACGTGAACGACGCCCTGGCGAAGCAGTACGCGGAGCACCTGAACCAGTTCGAGGCGCTGGGCTGTGAAGTCTGTGCGAGTCTGGTGTAGTTCTGTGAAGTCTGTGCGAGTCTGGTGTAGTTCCTTTGAATTTCATGATCCCGACGGGTCTTGCGTTTTTCGCCAGGCCAAAGAGCCAGTACCATGTGCCTTGGCCCGACCAACAAAGGGTTATAAGGGTTGGCACAGTGAAACGAGAGCAAGTGGCCGGGTCACCGAGTCCCAAGCAGAAAGGACATGTTGATGGAACTCCCGAAACGATCCCAGCCCCAACCGCCACTTGGTATGTTGTTAGGATCTATATAACTGCCATATCGGAACAGCCATTTGTTTCCGGTTGTTAGGGTTTTTGAAAGGAAGAATAAGGACGGAAAGGGAAAACACAGGAGAGACAAGCGAATGGAAGAGGGGGGGAGATGGTCACTTGGCGGACCGCCTCCGGAGTTTGGGACGGGACGTGAAGAGGCACACCTGGCGATGTGGTTCCTATCACTGGGCTGGTTTTGCCACCCGTGGAGGGCACTCAGTGGATGTGGCAAGCAAGGTTTGTTTGGTGTCATCTGGCTTTGGGAACTGGACAACTCTCTTCCTAGCGTATCCTGTTTGGATGTCCTTTCCTGGAGATTCTCAAGTACTAGTAGTATGGGGTAGTCCTGCCAGGACACCCATTGCACAGTCCTGGTCTATTTGTTTCATGAGTCATAAAACTGTCACTGAGCCGTTAAGTTAAACCACAGGGGGTATTTTCACCGCAGCCTGCAGGAGCCCTGGCAGGGTTTCAAAACACCGGGATTTTGCGTGTCGTTCGCCCCCACAATAGCTCCTATATCATGGGCCCTAAGAACAACCATGAACAACCCAAATGGATGTGTATTTAAGTTGTAGGATTTCCTGCCTGGCCACTGGGTATACTGGTCTATTTCCCCTTTTCCAGGGGGTTGAACTGGGAAGTTTGCCTATTT